ATCTAAAGAAGCCAAATCTTGAGTAGAAAATAGTTTGCATCTGAGCTTACTTAGCTTTTGTTGCTCTTGTTATTTAAAGTACATTTTTTCCTGTTTTATTCAGGGATAGTCTATAAACAGCTATAGGGAAGACTGCTGCTTTCCATATTAATACTTTCCTGTATATAATATTCAAAGTTTAAAGTCTCCATTATGTTGATCTTTATATTGCACGCTGAAAAAAAAGTCATTTTTCTCTTAAAAAAATGCAATAACCACACTTACATCAAGTATTTTTCAGCCAAGGAGCAATTTAAAAATATAACTAAAAACATAAAAAGCTAGAGCTCAGTAAACTATACAGCAAATTTATATCTATTAAATCTGTATTTCAGTTAAGAATTTCTTCTATTTAATTAACACATATGATATATAGGCTCTAAACAATTATAGCTAAATATATTTGAAAATGGCTATAAACCTGTAGAATTTATAGGAAGAACAAAAATTTGTCTATAGAATTGCAAAGTATAAGGCTGAAATCATCTTCACTTTAAACAGAGGAAGTGGGACAATTCTTATTCTATGAGATCTTCATTTTAACATGTGGTTTTGAAGACTAGTGGCTATTTTTAAAAAAATTGAACCATTTACATTTTTTTAAAATCTCACTGTGCCAATTCTTAGTCCCTTAACAAGATATGTAGATTTCTCCTCTGAGGTAATAACAAGTTCACTGGTCCTATTTTTGAAAGCTTTTAAGGAAAAACTCATTTAAATAAACTTTGTTGGGAGGATAGGGTAGTTAGGCAAAAGTTATCTTTTTGGTACTTTTGTCTCAACCTCATATAGTCTAGTTAGTGACTGGGGTGTCTGTTTTCTTCCTTGATAGTCTTCTTGTCTTTGTCTGGTTCAGATGTTAAAGACTGTGCTAAGTGTCTTGTGAGCTATCATAGTTTCAATCTGCTTCCCAAGCTCACGGTAGATACTTCCTCTTAGCTTTTCAAGCACACTCCATTAACTGCAAGGATGGTCTGTCCCACCACCAAGCTAACATCTCCGGTTGGGTCCCTCATCTCTTCTGAGTTGCCACTTACTACTTAAATCTTAAACTTCATTTCTGTGCTTGACAGCAATGCCATTGTTTTGCTTATTTCCCGATTGGAAGGCTGGCAGTCTCCTCTGAGACTGATGCCAACTGAGCTCTGTGTATCAGCCAGTAGGAGTCACTTGGAGCAGATGGTCATCATCCTTCCCCACAGCCCAAATCCCTGGTCTGGGTGGCAAAGTCCCAAGACCACACCTACCTACATGCCAACTGTCCTTATTTACTAAGATACTTCTTCTTATTTGTTTAGCTTAATAAATCATTTGCCCTAATATCTTTCTAAATGACTTATGCTCTCATTTCAATTTTCTTTGATATATCTTTCTATTAGCATTTCTCCCTTCCATTTTTTTCCTTCATTTCCTATGTTACTAGCGTGTATATTTTTAAAAACAGATTTCTTCATAGTTTCATAAATATTCATCTCTAACCTCAGAGACTATATAGTTACTGATGTATAAGTAACAGGTTGAAATTTTATTCCAGGGAGAAAATTATTAACCATAATTCCTTCCATTTCCATTCCTCCACTTAAAACATTAAAGATTAGTTTTGGTTAGGCCATTTTGTCAAAAACAAACCAACAATGGATAAATAACAAATTTATTTCTCTATAGTGAATTTTAATAGCCTTTGAGTTGATAATATTTCAAACAGAACTGATACCTAACATAACCATAGGGCAGCGTATACAGCTTAATTTCTAAGAGTACTAAAGGTTCAGGAAATACTTTTAAAAACATTAAGCCACACAGTGCACTGTTCTTGAGGCTGTGCAGTTACTGACATATCCTAAGCTAACTTGTCTGAGAATACCTGAGAATTATTAGTATATGACATTTTTTGGACTGAAAAAGCATTTTACCTGCTCATTCAGAAACATACAACATTCCGGTAAAATCATAAAAAGATCTGCAGTAAATTTCCTTTCAGAATCATCCAGAATATATAAGGAAGCTTCCTAAATACAGAGGTTTAGAGGAATTTTTATTCCTGAAAAGTTTTATGTAAATTAAATTGTTATAAAGTGAGATCTACTATCATTATTATACTAGAACAAAGTGTATTATGAATCTTGTGTAAAAATGAAAAAGCCTTTTGAAATACATGTATCTCCTAATGTTTTTATAAAACCACATTAAATAAATATCTAGCCTACTTAAATTGAAGTATACTTGCACTTAGGGAAAAATGACTTGGCAAAGCATCAAAAATAAAATGAGAGTAACAAGACATGAGCCAACCATATTAAGCTGAAGTTTATAGAGTAATTTTCTTGAAGGAACAAAGGCATTCTGAAAATATCATGAACTACAGAGGAAAAAGGAAAAGGCCTCTTTGGGTCTAGAATTTCCATCTAGAATTTTACATGTTATGTGGTTAGTGTATTTTCAAGGTTGTGCCAGTTGGAAAAAAGCAAGCCAGAGAGGTGAGATATTGCTCAGCTGACATTTCATTTTCCCTAGCACCCACATAGCCAGCGTAGGCTTCTCCGTCTCAGCACTGGAGAAGTTGGTATGCTCTTTGTTGGTAGATCAGGTGATAGACAGTCTGTCCCAAGGAAAGTGGACATGAGGCACATGTCATTTAATTAAGGCAGTTAGGTTCATCAATAGCTCTGATGATTAATACAAGCACTGAGGAAGATGAATACAAACCACTCCAGCTGGTAACTAGAAAACTCTCGACAGTTATAGCATAAAAACAATGCTGCTAGCTAGTGCATGAACATAAGTCAATAAAAATAAAGCAATAGGTTGTTCTGTACTGTGCAGAGGTTTATGAGAACACATGTGTTACACAATAGTGGAATTATGTTTTGGGGAATTTGAGAAAAAGAAAGCAACTTTTAATTTCAGACATCTTTCATGGTAAAACTTGTGAAGATGGGAGGCTAGGCCTGGGCATTTGGCACGGTGATGAAGACACCAGGAGGGGCGCCTGCGTCCTGTACTGGAGTTCCTGATTTGAGTCCCAGCATGGTTTCTTTCTTTTCTTTTCTTTTTCTTTCTTTCTTTTTTTTTTTTTTTTTTTTTTTTTACAGGCAGAGTGGACAGTGAGAGAGAGAGACAGAGAGAAATGTCTTCCTTTGCTGTTGGTTCACCCTCCAATGGCCTCTGCGGCCGGTGCACCGCGCTGATCCGAAGCCAGGAACCAGGTGCTTCTCCTGGTCTCCCATGGGGTGCAGGGCCCAAGCACTTGGGCCATCCTCCACTGCACTCCCGGGCCACAGCAGAGAGCTGGCCTGAAAGAGGGGCAACCGGGACAGAATCCGGTGCCCCGACCGGGACTAGAACCCGGTGTGCCGGCACCGCTAGGTGGAGGATTAACCTATTGAGCCGTGGCGTCAGCTCCCAGCATGGTTTCTGTTTCAACTTCCTGCTAATGCTCACTCTAGGAAGTCAGCCCATGACTCAAGTACTTGGGTCCCTGCTACCCACCCAGATTGGGTTACTCACTCCTGGCCTTGGCCGGGCCCAGACCTAGCTGTTACAGGCATTTGGGGAATGAACCAGAAGATGGAAGACCTCAGTCTTTGTGTTCCTCTACCTCTCCAAAAATGAAAATAAATAAAAATTAAACTAAAGACTTCTATTTAAAAGTAAAAGGACAGTTTGAATATGTATTAATGACATATTTTCCTTATGTTCTTAAGGTAATGCTAACATTACTACACATGCTTCAGTCTTTCAGGATAGGAACAATTATTTCTAAGCAGAGGTTTCCTATAGAATTACTTGTCAGGCCTTCACAGCACCTCCAAATAATGGGAAAAACTAAAAATTTAAATTCCATAATTTTGTTTTCAGATTAAAAGGAAATATATATGGGATAGATTTATAAATTAGCGACCTTGGAGGAGGATTAATGCATTACGTGAGCACACTAAGCAGAACTTATTTTTGCTATTTGTTTTTAAAGTTATCAGAATATAAGATTAGTTCTCACCATGTACACTCATTTAAGTAAAACCATATTAAGCACTTTTGTTAATTTTCACTGAAAAGAATGATGTATGAAAAGTCACAAACATCTATCTAGCAATAAGAAGACAGCTAGTTAGGTTATATGACATAGGTTTGATATTCAAAATCTTTCAACCTTTTTTAATTAAAAAAGTTTCACCCTTTTTGTCAACCAATCATTAACAACAGAATGAAAACCAAAGCATGATAAGGTGAGGTTTTTCTTGTTCAGTATCACATACTACCTGACAAAACACTTGTGCTGGGTGAAAAACCACAAAAGCAGAAACTTTCTAGGTTGTCAACATCAATGGTCATAATAGGTAAGTTAAAACCCACGGTGGAATCACTGTTCAGAGACTGATGGACGTAGATAATCTTAAATTCACACAAGTTTATCTATTTAATTTCATCAACCACTTCATTATATTACTATTTAATTAAAACAGATTCCATTACTGGAATGATAGAGAACGAACATGAATATGACCCATCAATTAAATTAGAAGCTGGCATGTTATAATAGAATCTTGAGGAATTTGCCCTGGGGTAGGAAACTCAACCATGGGATGGTGTTGTTAGATTTGGATTTGGTAAGAACTGAGTTGAGTCACTAAGGTGTGTTGGAAGACTTTGAAAACCACATTGTAGGGGCCAGCACTGTGACACAGTGGGTTAAAGCCTTTGCCTGAAGCGCCAGCATCCCATATGGGTGCTGGTTCTAGTCCTGGCTGCTCCACTTCCAATCCAGCTCTCTGCTATGGCCTGGGAAAGCAGTAGAGGATGGCCAAGTCCTTGGGCCCCTGCACCCACGTGGGAGACCTGGAAGCAGCTCCTGGCTCCTGGCTTCGGATCGGCACAGCTCCAGCCATTGCGGCCAATTGGGGAGTAAATCAGGGGATGGAAGACCTCTCTCTCTCTGTGTACTTTCAAATAAATAAATCAATCTTTAAAAAAGAAAAAAAGAAAGAAGAAAACCACACTGTAAAATACTATCAACCACAGTTTGACTTGAAAATTAAAAATAATTTACCAATGATATTAACTTCAAATTGCTTAAAACTTTTCTGAACTGTTTTAGAAAACTATAATGATTGGGAAGGAAAAACAGATAACTCTAGACCAGAAAATCAGGTCAATAAGTCAAGCAGACTTTGATTTCTTACCTAAAGCCAAAGAAACAACAGACAATTTTTTTAAGCATTCATTCTGCAATAGCAATTCTGTGACATTCCTCTTCAAAGTATACTTAAATAGAACTACAAGGAATTGTCATCTCCACTTCTATGAGCCATTTCCTAGGCCCGGCATCATTACAGAATGAGTCCTCTCAGGCCTAGGATTCTTTTAATCACATTCGAGTGGCATTAGGCAGCACTTCACCTCTGACAACGTTTCGTGTGCACATGTTCTCAACTTCAGAAAAGGAGCACTGAAGAGCGATACTGAATGACCCTAAGAGCTTATTAACTGGTGTTGCAGGCATCTTAGAGAAACATGGGGAGCTGACGAGCTCGTGGAAGGCTGAGTGGTGCTGAAGCTGTGGAGCACACTGTGTGTAAGAACAGTATGCTTGGTTGTCAGCTCGCAAATGACAGGCTGCTTCTCTGTACTACTGTTACTAAAAATATCAGGCCTGACGTGGTAGATGTGAAAACGCCTGTGATCTGATTTGGAAAGGATTTAGTAAGGTAAAAACGCAGCCAAGATCTTTCCCCTTTAGCTTTATACTTCCTACTACTTTCTCTTAGAGGTTTGTTTTTTCTAAGGTTGACCCAAAATCTGGAGCTAATTTATTTGATTTTTCATACTTTGGGTATAGCAAATAAATAACAAGCAAACTGCTCAATAATTACGGAGAGGAAACAAATACACTTTTAGTTGTATTTGTATTTTCTATATTTTAGCTGTACTTGTATTTGTATTTTTTACATTTCACTAGAATTTTTTTTTTTTGCAAACCACTGGAACTGTCAAGTTAAAAGATGGAGATTCTCTGATAGTTAAAATGAAATAAGTATTTCATAATCTTTATCAATAAATATTTTTGTCACACTGGCTAACTTCTTAATATGCTATTGATAGTGGATATTCATGTTTCATCTCTGTCAAAGGACTAGCAGAGAATCAGATAAAATAAATTATAGAAGTTGAGGATACTTCAAAGAGTTCATGGAAAAATTGAATGAAAAAATGCTTACTTTGCTGCAAAATTTTTTGAGAGCCAAGCACACTGTTTCACGATGTGCATTTTCCATGAACTTTTTGAAGACTTTGCATATGCAGAAGTTTGAAATCACAGAAGTGTGAAAAGAAAAAAGTTAGGAAAGAATTTACTTGCTTAATATTTCTCCCATGAGGCTGCAGGGGCCCAAACACTTTGGCCATTTTCCACTGCTTTCCCAGGCAATAAACAGAGAGCTGGATAGGAAGAGGAGCAGCTGGACATGAATTGGTGCCCATATAGGATGCCAGCATTGCAGGTGGAGGCTTAGCCTACTACACCATAGTGCCAGTGCCATTTGCACAACTTTAAGAGAGCTCCCTCTCCTCCTTTCTTCTCCCCCCTCCCTTCTTCTTCTTCTTTTTTTTTTTTTTTCCCCTCTCCCTCCCTCCCTTTCTCAACAAACATTTGTTGAGTACCTACTATCAGGGTACTTAAATGTTTGTAGAAAGTAGAATTAAAAGAAGTTTACTTTGATGTTAAAAAATTTTGGAAATCCATGTGTATGGGGAATCTTTAGAAAGTTCATGAAAAATACAGTTATGAGAAAACTACATACAGGCTTCAAGTTCTTTTTGGTACCAAAACAAACAACTTTTAATTCCATTGTGCAGGAACTTCTTAAAGTACCCTTGTGTCGTGCGGGGCAATGAGCTATCTGGAGATACCAGGAGTCCTTATTCTCAAGATGGGGCTGTGCTGGAAGGGCTCTGAGAGACTTCTCCAGGTGAGGAAAGGTTTTGAAGAGGAAGTGCTAGCCAAATTAAAAAGGCAAGTTAGAGTTAGAAAAGGAAATTAGAGTTTAGAGGAAGAAAAAAATCAGCAAGTGGAAAAATCAAAGAGTAACATGATGGGCTGGATGTTTGATATGATTAGATATTATGGTTTGTGCAAGGAAATAGTCAAAGATAAGGCTGGAGAAGTAGGCAAGGGCACAATAGGTAGGGCTTTCATTTTGAAGGCAACAGTCAATGAAGGCTTTTAATCATACGAAGTGATAGGATTGAATTCATCCTGGGAAGATATATCTCTGGGTATCCCCAAATCACGCTGTGTAAGGAGGGAGGGCAGGGCCACACTGGAAGCAGGGAGCCAATCAGGAAGCTGCATAGCAATCCAGGCAGGTAACGATGAAGATTTTTATCCCTCACCCCCACCCCACTCAAAGTAGGCTATGCTGGAAACTTTGTTACTTTATTTTTGATCTTTTATGTGGTTCTTTCTAATATATTTTTCATAGTCTTCAATATTTGCTCCTTGAAAATAAAATCTTATCCTGGATATGTAGGGGAAATTCATACACGACCTATCAAAAAAGTTGCTGTTGGGGCCAGCACTGTGGTGTAGCGGGTAAAGCCAATGCTTGCAGTGGCAGCATCCCATATAGGCACTGGTTCAAGTCCCAGCTGCTACACTTCCAATCCAGCTCTCTGCTATGGCCTGCACCCGCTTGGGAGACCTGGAAGAAGCTCCAGGCTCCTGGCTTCGGATTGGCCCAGCTCCAGCCATTGCAGCCATTTGGGGAGTGAACCAGCGGATGGAAGACCTCTCTCTTTCTCTCTGACTCTTTGTAACTCTGCCTTTCAAATAAATAAATAAATCTTTTTTTTTTTTAAAGTTGCTGTTGTGTTGCTGACATCATTTCTCTCCTAATTTCTCCACAATGAACCAGGTATTAAAAGAAATGAAGATGAACTGAACTTTTATGAAACATTGGTTGTAGAGCGTGAGGAAAAGGGAGGTATCAAGCAGAGATGGATGGATGGACAGACATACTGATTCAACAGATATTTATTAAATTTCCAATATGTACCAGATATTACTGTAGGCAACATGTTCCCTATGGTTCTTTTTCTATTCCAGCAAGCCACTTGCATTTAGTGGCTATTTCTTCTTTAATCTCCTCTAGTCTGTAATATTTACTTATTTTGTTTCAGGTCTTTTATGTATGACTTACTTTGATACTTCTAAAGAGCAATGATCCAAGATTTTGAAGGATGTCCCTCATTATGGGTTTGTCTGAAGTTTTCTCACAATTGAAGTCATGCATTTTGGTAAGAATATGATGAAAATGATATAAGCTTCTCACTGCATCATAGAAGAGGTTCATGAAGCTGATATGTCTTGTAATTGGCACTATTTACCTTGACTGTTTGGCTAAGTTGACATTTGTCAGGTTTCCACAAAACAAAATTGCTACCTTTCTCTTTGTAATTGGTAACTACCTTGGCCAAGATACTTTGAACTATGCAAATCATATTTCTCTTTAAATTTCTTCCCATCAACTTTTGCATTTGTCAAGGAATCATATCTGCACACTTATAGGTGTTTGCCTCAAGGCAATCCTCTATTTCCCTCTTCATTTCCATACTTATTAATTTATCTGATTATTTATATTGCTCTGGATTATTAATATTTATTTAATTCTATCAATACTATCATTATTTGGCTACTCGAATTATCTCAGCTTTGGTCATTAAGTTGGCTCCTTCAGGTTGGTTCCTGTGTTTTTTCAACTCATCCCCATTTTTTTTTTAAGCATTTCTTTACTATTTGGCACAAGATGTTCAGTCTCATTTTGTATTTTTTCTCCTTTGGCCCTGGAATCAAGCAATCAAGCACTTCTCCTAGAAGCTCTGGTTTCTTTTATTGGAAAATGGTGCTTAGATACCAGGATCTGGCACAAGGAATGTCATTGTTAGAGGGGTGTCATTGCTTTAGGCGGAGGAGAGAATATTTTTAAGATAGATTGGTGAGAGAAAGCCTTTCTGAGGAGGTCACTGGAGCAGAGACTTAAATAAAGTGAAAGAAGCGGCAATGCAAATGACCTGGGAAGAGTTTTCCACATAGAGACAGAGTAGGTATGAATAGCAGATATTAGAATATGCTTGGCAAGGAACAGCATGATAAAGAGGGTTGCCACCTGGTGTGTTAGGGGAAAAGTGGTAGGGAGAGAGTTTGTAGAGTAGAAATGACTTCTGTAAACGATAGTAAAGAGTGTGAATTTTAATTTGGTGGGAAGCCATTGGAGTGTTTTAAGCAGGACAGTAGCAACTCTTATTTACTCTGTGATACAATATTACTTTGAGCGGTGTATAGCAAACAAAATGTGGGCAGAGTTAGAGGGCTACTGCTGCAGCTCTTAGGTGAGATTTAATGATGGCAAGGTATAATAGAGACAGGGTCATGTTTGCAGTAGCAGACATGGTGAGAAGGGTGAATTATTTATTTAGATTTGGTGCATGTGTGTAATTATAAAAATATTTTTATAAAGAGAGAAAATTGATAACATCACATGCAATACCTACAACTAAATTTCATAACATTCTAATATTTGGCTATATTTGCTTCAGGATCTTCAGTGAAGATCCCAGTGTATCTCTCTTCTAATCCAGATATAAGCACTGAAATAAATTTCTCATTTATTTTTCTCATGGATATTTGTAAACTACTACTAAATACATGTACACAGTAGTCCCTATATGGTTTCATTTTCTGCTGTTTCAGGTTCCTGTGGTCAACTGTTGTCTTAAATATTAAATGGGAAATTCCAGAAATAAATAATTCGTAAGTTTAAAATTTTGTGACACTGTGAGTAACATGATGAGATCAGGCACCATCCTGCCCTGTCCTAAGATGTGAATCATCTTTTTGTCCAGAGGATCCACGCTGTAAATGCTATCTGCCTGCTAGTCACTTAGTGACTGTCCTGGTTATTAGACT